TTTTTTTTTTTTTTTTTTTTTTTGTTTGTTGGTCGGACTCTACGTACATCTACCTGAGGACGATTACGGTAACCCGTTACACTTTTTACCCCCTTGTCCTCTCTATAGTCTCATCTGGGAAATTCGTTGATACGCCGGTGTGTTGGCATTGTCCGCACCCCACTCCCCCCACCACGGGTGGGGGTGGGGTGAGGGTTGGGGGATTGCACCTATTTAGTAGCCTAGTTTCGCACATATTAAATAAATTTAGTCTAAGCAAAATGCAATTCAATTGAAAGCTGAATAGAGTCTAGATCTAAATCTGGATCTAAAATCTAGATCAAGAATCTAGATAATCTGGATCTAGAATCTAGATTTCTAGTTATCTTTATGCTGGTCGGTCCAAACATTTCTCATCCTTTTTTTTTCGGAATTTAATTTCCACTGTCGTCCTTTTCCTGATACGATACTAAAACCTTCTTCATTGAAGTGACTCAAATTATTCTTACATGTGTGCTAAAATCACCATTAAAATCACATTAATATAAGCACAGATTATGGTATGTGCTATGTGCGGTCCGACCGCGACTGAAATCCAATCTGAGAACCGTACAGCCTAATAGAGGTAATAATTAATTAATAGTCAGTAATAGGCTAAATAAAGTGAAATTTGAAACATTTTGTCCAGGTTGGGATAAAATAATGTTTCCCTTTTACTAATATCATAACAATTTCACCTCGAACTCGAATCAAAAGTGGAAATACTGTGTATTTTCTAAAGAAATTATGGTTATTCTAGCTATATGTATACGTTAATAGCTTCTTCTTATTTATTATTTTTTGTGTGTAATGAATGCTATAATTGTTCAGTAGGCTACACACTGTGCAAGGAAATCCGGGAGCCAAATGGGATTGACCTTTGACCTCTGACACCAAGGGACAACAATCGGCACTGACTGACTGAACTTTGAAGCTGTGTACACACACAGTAAAGTGGATTCTAATTTGAGAGCTCCAGGAAACCCAATTCTGCAGTTCAGTTACGTCGACAAGACCTGCCGTGTATTATTTTCAGACTTGTTCTGAACTTTGAGCTTCTGCTAAGTAGGCCAACGTATCACCATTTGTCAGGGTTTTCGATATGATTCGCCTTCTGAAGAGACCAGTGGTAAGTAGTTTATTATGACCTCCTATGAACGAAGAAAGATTTTTGACTTTTTGCAACCGCAGTTGGCTTCGGTACTGATTTCTTGATTGTTGTGTATTCTTTATCGTCTATGACTTCATGACTTTCATTTTAGAGTCACACACTGGTCTTGCTTGCGGTGGTGTAGATAACAGGCTAACTTTTACTTTGGCCTACTTCAAGGGTTGCAGTTTGCGACAATTGCATGTTGGCTGTCTCCTTTTTCTTTATCACCAGGGTCCGTGATGGCGATTAAGTCTAGATATAGATCTAGATCTAGAAATCTAATATCTAGATCTAATCTAGTAAAGTAGGGGGAAAAGTAGATTCTAGATATCTAGATCTAGATCTAGATCTAATCAAATGTCCGTTGAAAAACAAAAACAAAAAACGGATTGAAAAGCGTAGCTCGGTCCTTGTTAGATAAACCTGTTCTTGCTGCTTTAACTTTAGAGATTTTAGGCAAGCAAGTTCATCACTTGCATTTGATTTGTCACTGTGCTATGCCCATTTTATGTCATAATGTTTTCATTTTTGGTACCATCATACATTTGCCATCCCAACATTTGAATTTGATGCTATTGAGAAATTTAATTTGACCTTTGAAAAAGTATGTAGTCACGGTAAACAAAGGCCTGATGGTGGAATGCCTCATACAGTCGAACCTGCCCTAGCAGAGAAACTTGTGAAGTAAGACGGACACTCCCTGCTCCCTCCTTGACGAATTATGAATTCCTCTATATTACTTCCTAAAAGATAGAAACCGGCCAACTGCAAAAATGGAAAGAGAAATTTCTCCCCTTCGGATGGTTTTTACTTACCTGTCTAAAATAAAAGGCCGGCTCTATTTCTCAGAACGTTCGGGAAAATAAACTTGAACTCTATTTCTCTGAACGATTTCCGTTCTCGAGATTTGTTGATTATAAAGTGAATGGAATAGAGTGGCCCGTTTGTGTGTGTGTGTTTACAGTGAGTGTATGTTAGTGTGTGTGTAAGGTGTGAACAGGGAGGTGGGGTGTGGAGGGTTTTTTTTTACATGAAGGATTTTAGTTTTTGCTGGGTGACTAGAATCTAAATGCAAAATAGTTTACTACCAAGGTCAAGCAGTCTTGTTTTCTCACAGTACCTCTTGGAGATATTTACAATTGAAGTATAGTCCAGGAACGTTGCCCCAACCACAACTGAAATATATCTTAATATTCAAACATAAAAGAATCTCTAGCTCGATGCAAAAAAAGCTTCTTCCCGGTCCTCGCAGAATGGCAGAATAAAAGGATGTCACCTAAATCTCGCAAATAACGAAAAAATCTCGAGATCGGAAACCGTTCGGAGAAATAGAGTGCAACTTTATTTTCCTGAACGTTCGGAGAAATAGTCACTTCGAAAATAAAAACCTGTAAATTCTTTCTCAAACACATCGACAGGCTGAAGGGCTAAAACTCTGGGCTGTTTAATCGGAAAAGTAAAGTAGGCTTACCTGTCTAAGATGGAAAATGCTTTGTTCTCTCAGCCCTGATTTGAAACAAAACTATCAAGGTTGGTTCAATCGTCTCTAACTTGTTATGCTATATGTTGCGAAGTGTAGCAAAGCGAGGAATGGGAGTAGAAGGTTTAACTTGAGGTTAAAAGATGTGAGCCCAAAGCAGTGCAGATGGTCAGGGTGGTGTCGGTGTGAAATCTTACCAATGCCTGTGAAAGTGCTCGAGTGGCATACCAGCAAGAAACTTTCCTGGGTAGCCCGGGGCCAGAGGTGGGAATTAGTTTGACCACTGCCTGCTGTTCTGATCGTACGGCCAATTGAGAAAATAGTTCCTTGAATCGTTGTTTTGTACACGGGAGGAGTTGCATTGGTTGACTGAACTTATTTCACCGATGGGTGGGATTAAGGGTGGAAGCAAAGGAGATGTTCAATTGTTTGTTTTTTATTGGTCAAGCAGTGGTCTTATGAGATGCAACCACTAGCGGCAATGAATAAGAAGGACTGACAATGTCATTACCCGACAAGCTAGGTTAGCACTTGAGAGGTGTGAAGTTTTCACTAAAGTGACCCTCGATCCCACCAATTGGACTTCTGGAACCTCCCCCCC